TGTTCCATTTTGGGGGGGCTGGTTCAGATCTGGGGGGGCTGGTTTGGGTCTGAGGGGTCTGGTTTGGCTCTGGGGTGTCATCTGAGGGGTCCTGACCCCCCTTTTGCCCCCCAGGGGTACACGAGGCAGGGGCTGAAGATCGGGGTGACCCAACCGCGCCGCGTGGCCGCCATGAGTGTGGCCGCCAGGGTGGCCGTGGAGATGGGGACAAAGCTGGGCAACGAGGTGACAGCGGGGACACCCCGGGGATGGGGGGGGCACAGGGGGGACATGGGGACATGGCCTTGTCCTGGGACACCTTGGGGACCTTTGGGGACGTGTCCTTGTCCTGGGGGATCTTGGGGACCCCTCCTCACCCCGGAGACCTTGGGGGATCCTTGGGGACACTTCCCCACCCTGGGGACCCCAAAGGACCTTTGGGGACACTTCCTTGTCCTGGGAGACCCCAAGGGACCCTTGGGGACACTTCCTTGTCCTGGGACACTTTTGGGATCCTTGGGGACACTCCCTTGTCCTGGGGGACCCCAAAGGACCTTTGGGGACACTCCCTTGTCCTGGGGGACCCCAAGAACAATGTTCCCACCCTGAGAGACCCCAAAGCACCTTTGGGGACCCGTCCTTGTCCCGAGGGCCCTTGGGGGACACTGGTGACCCCGGGGGGGTGACAGTGGCCGTGTCCCCTGTCCCCAAGGTCGGGTACAGCATCAGGTTCGAGGACTGCACCTCGGACAGGACGGTGCTCAAGTACATGACGGACGGGATGTTACTGAGGGAGTTCCTCACCGAGCCCGACCTGGCCTCCTACAGGTGACACTGGGGGCACTGGGGACACTGGGGGACACTGGGGGGACATTGGGGACACCAAGGGGACATGGGGACAGTGCTGTAAGCCCTGTCCTTGGGCTCACTGGGGTCACTTTGATGTCCCTGTCCCCACGTCCCTGTGTCCCGTCCCCCGTCCCCATGGTCACCCCCCTGTCCCTGTGGTCACCCCCTTGTCCTTATGGCCACTCCCTTGTCCCCGTGGTCCGTCCCCTTGTCCCCGTGGTGACTCTCCTGTCCCCGTGGTCACTCCTTTGTCCCTGTGGTCCCTCCCCTGTCCCCGTGGTCACTCCCTTGTCCCCGTGTTCTCCCCCATCCCTGTGGTCACTCCCTTGTCCCCATGGTCACTCCCTTGTCCTTATGGCCACTCCCCTGTCCCCGTGGTCACTCCCTTGTCCCTGTGGTGACCCCCCTGTCCCCATGGTGACCCCCCAGCGTGATCATGGTGGATGAGGCCCACGAGCGGACGCTGCACACGGACGTGCTGTTCGGGCTCATCAAGGACATCGCCCGCTTCCGGCCCCAGCTCAAGGTCCTGGTGGCCTCGGCCACGCTGGACACACAGAGGTTCTCGGCCTTCTTCGACAACGCGCCCGTGTTCCGCATCCCGGGGAGACGCTTCCCTGTGGACATCTACTACACCAAGGTGACATTGCTGGGAGCACTGGGGACACTGGGGACATTGGGGACACCTGGGGGACATGGGGGGACACTGGGGACGTGGGATGTTGGGGTCACACCCAGAGGTTCTCGGCCTTCTT